TTACACAGTGATTCTTTGTAGTCTAGTCCTATTCTTTCTAATCTATTCTATTTAAGAAATATGGACAGATATCATATCTTATTCATTATATTCTTTAATCTTATCAAATAAACAGTCAGGAAGTAGTTGGGATAATTTTTTCGTTGTAGAAAAGTTAAAATGATGACGATATCATCGTATAATCGAAAAGACATGGTAAATTTACTATAGAGTTAACAAACAAAACGTAAATGTTATACAGTTCATGGTAAAGGTTAAAATTTCAATTTTCCCTATTCATTTTCTAATTGTTTATCCTCGTTATACTTAAATTTGTTCGAAAATTGCGAAATATAGAGGATATACAGTATATATACTAATATATATATATATATACAGAATATACTGTATATATAGAATCCGTTATTCTTTCAACTCTTTTTGTTTTTCTACACTTAGACTGCGTAAGCGAATTATTTAAAAAAAGTCTCAAGTTATCAAGAATGGTTCGTCTTACAAGAAAAAGCTCTCTAATGCGAGTGTGATATGCTATCGTCTCGTTGAGCCACACGGACTTAATTTCGTTCCTCTAACCTCTTCTCTCTCCCTCTTCTCTTTTATCCTCTATCTATTCTATTCCGCTAATAATATTTTAAAGAAGAAAAACAATAAACTATTACTGCTAAATTTTTCACTTTCCTTTGTTTAACAAGATTTATGGGCGAAAAAATTTTTCATTTCCGTTTCCATTTTTTGCTTCAATGCTTTTTAAACAGTGTAATTAAAATTTCATTTAGGTCGATTAAGAAATTTACTCTTTTTCTCTTCCCTTCTCCACTTTCTCAGTGAACGTAGAAAACTGTCGGTGAAGGAAGGGAAGAGCGAGAAACAGCGGAATATGAACCAACTACAAATAATCTTTACTTGTCATTTTGTTTTACTTTAAGTAAGAATGCATTTATCTTAAATTAGACGAGAGTTTCTTTTTAAATTTGTTGCTTTAAGTTGCTTTATTTTGTCATTTTCTTAATCCTTTCTCGAGTATGTTTAGTGGGATTCTAATCTCTGAGTTTAGACATCTGGTTTTTGCAGGCGGAAAACACGTGACCGATAGCTAGAGAATAGGAGAGCAACAGAGGGTAAACGAGTGAAAAGAGAGAAATATAGAGAGATAGATAGTTAGATAGATAGATTTCAGAAAATTTTGGCCTATCAGGGAGCGACCTGGGTTATTTAAAAGATTCCAGGATAAAACCAATTATTTATTTATTAAACAAAAATCTAACAGAAGAAGCGAGAAAAGGAAGAGAGCAAGGTTTAAAAATTTATGAAACGTCATAGTGAAAGATAAAAGGACTAGAATGACGTGTAATTTTCCAGTATTTTTACATCCATAAACGGGGAGTTCAGTGTACAAGGATAGAATAAAATTTGATTTACTCCAAGCTGACAGTAACATCTCTCTAACATTTTATTGCGCCAATAGAAAAAGACGGTAACTGTATTTATTCGTCAGTTTACTTTTCTATTATTTTATACTTTCTTTGATGATAAGAAATTTTCGTAAATGACTTTATAAAAGAGAAAATAAAGTCATTATTTCGCTCAAGTAATTTTAATCCATTTCAAATACTTTTTAAGCTTTATTTTCCCCGATACACTTCCTCGTCGACACTATCCTCTCTTTTCCTATATCTAATTTTATCTTGTCAGCAAAACCTATCCTCTGTCCCTTTATCCTACAGTCTTTTTTTAGCCTTAATAATTTTTTCTTCCTTCACAGTAGCGTAGCTACTTTTGACAAAAATTACCATCAATAGCTCAGATTTCTTTGACAGTTCTAGCGTCTTTTATTATTATTATTCCCCTTAAGATTATCGTTAATCTATGATTTATAAGGAAAAAGGAGAAAAAAATCTTACACGGTAAACAATGAGTTAATTTTTAAACAAGGACATTGTTTGCATAATGGAATTTGTTTAGTAGAAGGACTATATAATACTATATAACACCTTTACGTATGTACCGCATATAATATCTTATATACAGTATAGTATATGCTAATTAGTTTATTTGTTTATTCTTAAGCAAGTAAATTCTTGTAAATTTAACCTTTAAACAATATGAAATAAAATCTGTAATCTTTTGTTTTTTTGTAAAAAAAAAAACTAATAATATTAATTATTACCCCAAAATTGGAAAGACGACAAAATATTTATTAACTCACTTGATGCTAACAAATCTCCTGGGTAATTAACGCCTAAATCCACAGAACTTCTCTTCCTACCCATTCGTCCGTCGTCACCCTCATCACAGGAGTTGTTTGGTGATATATCTTCTGGAGCAGCTGCCAAACCCAAACTCTAAGAGATGACGGAATACAGTACAAATTAGACTTCTTATTAACAATTTATAATTAATTAATATTCAATAATAAGAGAGCAAATAAGAATAAGTTGAACATACAAGCGATATATTTTTTGCACTGACCATATAGTTGAACAAAAGAGTATCTATTTTATATACAATATCTATATACACACTATATAGAATATTTTATTCTTAGTACAGAAAAAATCACAACTAGCATTACGTTAAAGTTATTAGTCAACTGGTTTAACAAGTTAGTCAGCTGAAATGATTGATTAATTATTTAATTAATAATATCAACCATTTTGTTATCATTAAAGAAAACTAATTCGCTATTGTTTGATTGTTCAAACAATATATGAATATTTCATTATAATTCTTCATTTATACAATAATTTTTAGTAGCAGTGTCTTAATGAATAGTATTTGAAAGACAAGTGGTGAGAAAGAGAGATAGTATATATATATATATATGTGCGTATGTGTATGTGAGATAGAGAGAGAGAGAGAGAGAGAGAGGAAATTTTCATTTGATTTATAGGTTTATTCTTCATAGAGTTTATAAATGTCCGTTTTGAAATTTATTGGGAGAATGAAAAGAATAGTTCAAGTTGACTATAAATTTTTAAATCAACAGTTGAAAATGTAATACAATTTAATAGTATATTGTTGAAAGAATGCCAAAAATGAGAAATATACCTGTTCGATTATGTATTAAATGGAATTTCATAAAGGTTAAAAATGTATCTTTAAGTAAAAAGATCTGTTAAAAGTTTACGGAATATATTTCCAAGTAGGCAGCTGTTAGTTATATACATTTTAATTTGTTGGTGCAGCTGGTTTAAGCTCTATTATCCTCCTTCCCTTCTCGCTCACTCCCTCCGTCTGTCCCCTACTTGCCTGACTAACCGTTGTCTTTATGTAATTGATTACGTAATTTACGTTAAAAAATAATCGATTAAGAAAAAGACAATTTTTTGAATAATATATATTATGAATATTAATTAGGATAGAAAATTTACTTAATACTAAGAACGCTTAAAATCAATTTTGCTATAGTTGGTAATACAATTCCCTTTCTGTTTATCAAAGCTTCACGCCCCATCCTAATAGTGTTGAAGTACTTGCCCTTCACAGTCGTGCTACTAATACAAACGTTTCGAGCTAAAAATAGGTATCTTTATGAAAAAATTATGCTCGATATGTTTTTTAAGTCTATTAGTAAAGTAAACGAATCATTAAATGTTTTTTAAAAACTGACTTTACATTGACAAAAAGCATTTTTAAAACTCTTCTATGTACAAAAATCTTTTCAATGAATAGTGTCTTTTTTTTTCTTTTTAGTCCGATTAAAATACTTTACACATGTGTAGTGTACTGTAAACTTTATACAATCCTACATACTCAGAAAGTTTGTAAACCGCTAGAAAACCAGGCGCCATTTGTTTGACATACGTTTCATTCTCACTGAGCACCAAACCTGTTGACAAACAATAAGTTCCAGGCCTAATTGCAAGCTAGCCATCGTTCTATAGTCTACAAACAACCGTAATGGAAGTTTGTCGCGAGTTTTTGAGTAGTGCTTCCGGTTCGAAAAAAGCGGTCGATCTAGGATATCGGGGTTATTCTTTAATCTAACCTTGACCCTTATCAATTTTTTAAATACAGTTTGTTCCTAAGGGTTTTTTACTTGAGAAGCGAAGAAAATAATCTATATATGTATATATATATATATATATATATATATATATATATATTAGTATATATACTTCATAGAAAACTTTGCCTATTAAGCGATATATTTAATGTATAGAATAGGTTATTACGTCATCTACACACTTTCAATACGGATTTTTAATGATTATTAATAGAATTAAATGAAGATGGACAGAGAAATAAAAAACGGAAGCGAGTAGGCTGGAGGACTGTGGTTGGAGAAACGGAGAGAAAGAGAGGAGGAAGAATAAGAGTAAAAAGAAAGAGAAAGAAAGGAAAGGAATAAAAAGTAGAAGAAAAAAAAAAAGAAAGAGAAAGAAGGAAAATAATAAATAAGCCAAAAAAAAAAGAAGAAAAAGTCCATCTGTAGAAAAAGCTTTGAACAAAAAAAATTGAAGAACTTTGATTTTTATTCTTGGACCAAATTAGTAAGCTAATAATTTTTTTAATAAGATTCTTTAAAGAGAGAAAAATTTACTAATGAGGTTGTGCCTGACCACTTTCAGACACAGTGATCGCTTTCGCGTGAGATATGCCTTTCATTGATTATTGCAATATCTACAACTTTTCTTCCTTTATCTCTCTCTCTCTCTCGCTCTCTCTCCCACTCATTCTCTCTTTCTCTTCCTTTATCCGCTTTATTTCCGTTCGCTTATAATTTAGCGTATACAAATGTACAGTATGTGTATATAAGTACATGTAGCGTATCCATTAGCCAATAGGTTGCTCAAGTATTTACATATATATAGAAATTGGCTATGCCTATTGAAATATGACTAGCTGAATCGTAATATTGAGCTTTACCTTATCCAAGTTAAACTCGTACTTGAGTGTTTTTAACAAACCTTCCTCTTCTATTAATTATTATAGAAGAAAAAAAAAATGTTCTACTTTCTCATTTATAATAAAGCAATTATAAAAATAAAACGAAATCTCTAGCGGATTTTTACAAGACTAACAATTACCTTAGAATCGAATTTGGCTTGACGTCTTACTCTCTGCCTTATTGGAGGACTTGGTTCTGTGTCACTTTCATCCGATGTAAATCCACCATGTCCCTGACCTTGCTTTGTTCTTCTTACCTTTGAAATTTAAAAGAGAATATTGAGAAAATTATTTCTTTTAAAATAGTCATTACAGATTTCTTTTTCCTAAGAAGTTTAAGTTCATCAATTTCATCAATTTCATAACAAGTTTCTAAATCATCTGTATCGAACGATTTGCGGTGTCGGTTCCAAGTTCTTCTCTTCCACGTGCTTAATGTATACGATTGCATTTTCAAACGTCGACTGGCGTCTAAAACGTAGAACCAGTCTACGCTAATTCCATGACGTCATTGACTTTTCGTATCATTTTTAACCGTGTATGTATATAATTCATAAAGCGGGGAGGTGAAAAAATAAGAAATATTACCTGTTTATTATGGGGAACAGATAATAGATTGGTTGCAGAGTCACTACTATCGATGGCTGTACTTTTAGAAGCTGAAAGCACATGAAAAGTAAGAGAAAAGAAACATTAAATTTTAAATGAACGAATCAAATAAAATGACAGAGAAAGAGAGAAAGAGAGAAAGCGCGTTAAACAATTTGATAATTAAGTTATATTAATAGTAGTTTATCCCCCTTTTCATTTATCTCACTCTAAACGCTACCCGTGTGAGAGATGGCAAAAGCGTACAACTAGCACCATCTACAGGAGCAATAGGCGTTAGTACAAAATATCTATAGGTTGTATATGTATATTTATTTATATTAGATATATATAAACTTTATATAAACCGTATAAATTTATATAGCTTTATTAATGAAAAGAATTTAATCCTAGGAACAAATGATAAAAAATATAACTGTTCTCTAACGACTGTTGAATGACTTTTATTAAGCGCAAAAACTGACAGGGAAGAGGATGAAAAGAGGGGGAAAAATGATTAACAATTTTTTTTGAGGCGGCGTCAACTAAAGCTTTTATTTATTTCTATATTCACTTAATTTCTAATGAAAAAAAATGAATAAAAAAAAAAAAAGAGACTAAAATGAATTTTGGATAATATTGGCACTGGTGTTGTTAGCAGGCGGCATTTTTTGGCGGACGTAATTTAGCGAAAATGTCAGGCGTTATTGTTGCTGCTGTCGCCTTGATAATTTTGACCTGAATAAAAATCTATCTAGTTCTACCCTACTATTGTAAATAATTTAAAAATAAAAACATGAGCTAATTATAACATCAAAATAATTGATTATCAAATATAAATAGTTAATCATTAGCGTCCTTGTAATAAATTTGAAATGAATAGGAAAAGATGAGAAAAAGAACGATAAATGAATTTCTTTTAATTCTTTTTAAAAACTAGACAAACTAACGTTTATGATAAAAGAAGAGAAAGGAATCAATTACGATTGTTGAAAAATTTCCTTTCCTGATTTTCTCTCTCTCTCTCTCTCTCTATCTATCTCTATCTCTTTAAATTCTATTTATGTTAATTTGCAATCAATACAGACAGATATAATATAGAGATTTTTTTTTACCATCGTCTCTTTATCCTTTATCAGAGTAGATGGAATCGTTTCCTATCCCTTAAATTAACATGCAAGCCCTGTCCTTAACAGATACTTTTATGGTAACTCTTAAATGTAAGATTGATTTAATATGCGCTTAATGTACATACTCTTCAACAATACATAAAAAAATGTATACAAAAGCAAACGTTTGCCCCTTAATAAGTTCGCCCTATATCTATAACAGGGATTTTAACCGTATTACATCACGTTCCGCCAAGATTAAAAACCTAGTATTGTCAGGTGAAATTGACGATAAAATTTTCAGGAATAGTATAAATATAAGGTAATAAACGCGTAATATTCATTTATATACATTGTGAATATAATCTATTCTCGCGCCTTTTTATTCTACTTTTTCATTCGTCTATTTCCTCCGTGTTCTGCGTCTGCTTCTCCTCCTCTTCCTCCTCCTCTTCTCCCCTCCCTTCTTTTTCTAATTACTGCTTATTTCTACGTTTTGTTCTTTACAAATAATAGTCTTTTAAAAAGTTTCCTATTTTAATCGAAGGTGTGGAACTGGAAAGAAAAAGCTAGTATAATTTTCTTGTTTACACGCTTTAACAAATAGATACGAGTTGAGTTGTTAGTCACACATGTGTTCTATTTAGTCTTAAATCTTATATAATATAATTAACATGACTATTATTATATGAATACTCTATTAAAACATATGCTAAACGCTTTACTCTAATCAGTACATACAATGTTGTGATAGTTGCATACTTGGACGAATGGTAATAGTCGACAATAAGCCATAGGATAATGCAATATCACATGTTATGATGGTAAATTTTCTCTACACTTGGAGTTTTCTTCTAAAGGTAACACATATCCATATGAAAGTATTAGTTTACGTTGCAGGCCTTTCATGACTTAGTAAAAGTAGCAAACTCTAAGGGAAATATTGAGCAGAGGGAAAGGGGAAAGGGTGATAATCATGTTGTTTATTTTCATAATTATCAGATTTTTTTTTCATAAAGAAAGAAAAAACGTAAAGAAAAACACAGGTTAATTACAAGGAAAATTAGTTTGCAAATGCTAGTTTATTGTAAGGTCGGGTACAAGTAGATGGTGAATATTCCGTACAATGAATTCGCATTATACGCTTATTTCACCCTTTTATTTAATAGATTTTATATATACATCTATATATATATATATATATATAAAATCTATATATATATATACACTATATATAATATATGCGCAATATTTCAACAATAATCTATACATTTTTAGTAAACCGTGTAAAGATCATCACGTTATGTTACTTTTTGTAGTTGACCTGAATAAAAACACCAGTTACACTAGTTTGTCAAAAGGTGACGAACTACAGTCAACAATGTATCTGTACTTTTAAGGTATCTGCAGCCTTTTATCTTTCATGCACGAAGTAAAAATGTCTCGCCTAATGGTTAATTCAGGTTGAAAAAAAGATGACAAAACAGACAAACTTACAGATTTTGCGATAGGACGAAGATTTTGCTCTGTTTGAACTATTAAATCCAATAATCGCTTTGCAAAGTACTGACCATCTCATTTTTTGAGATGGATAACTTCAATTTTCAAAATTAGCTACAAGAAATCAGAATTTTTTTCTCTTAATCGCTTGGCCGTCCGCACGGTTCTGAGCGCCGGAAAATCTGTGACGTCATAAGTCGACGCCAACTAGACGCTGGTTTGTCCATCGTTACCACTAGGCACACGAGGAAAAATCAAGAAAGAAGATTTTCTTTTAAAAATATATAACTTAATAAGACGGGTAATCGTATTAGGTAATTATCAATTTCCGTTTGTCATTAGTGCATGCGTACGGTTGTGTTTTGATTAATACTAAAAAATAGTTACTTTGAGGTCAGAAATGCATATGTTGTGGATGGTTTATGAAATGAGAAATGAGAAATTTTCTCGTTTTTGTAGGTTAAGAGAAAGGGTTGAAAAGGTAGAGAAGGGGGTAAGGAAATAGTATAGAAAGGTATAATGAATAGCTTGGAGAGAGAACAGTCCAGATATCTTTAATTAGTTTACCGATTTTTTATGTTTATTCTCTTCTTTTTACAAACTAAAATACTTTTAATTGATTGAAAAAAAAGAGACGCTTAACAAACAATTAATTCTTAGTAATTATCTTGCCAAAGTTTTTCTCTTTTTCGGTTTACTATTCTATCTAGCATAATAAAGAAAAGTTTTCTTTCTATAAGGCAAATCAAATAACGATACTCTCTAACGAGGGAAAAGGTGAGCGAGTGAGTGAGTGAGTGAGTGAGAGAGAGAGAGAGAGAGAGAGATTGTGACAGACTCACATACAAACAGACCGGGCAGGGAATAGGACAAAATTATAAATATAGAAAAAGACCAAAGGGACAAAAGAGACGGTCGGTTATGTATATAGTTTAAATGTATTATATAGATTACACATTTCTCTCATGTACCGTACTTTCGCTAATGTAAAATTGGTAAATAATTTTTTGTAATAAGAAGAGATAAGGTTGTAAAACCTTTTTTTAAAAGCCACAAGAAAAGCATTATTGGAAAAGAACATAGGTCACAATAGGTCATGTATTTCATATATAACGTTTTAGCATTTTACTATAAATTTCATTCTATCTTTCTTTTATAACTACGCATAATTAACGAATAGATGAGAATGAAAAGTTACATATAATTATTAGGAATTAAGGGAATTACGCTATCTCTCAGCTATGCTATAGCGTTTAATATGTCACGAAACAACAATTTTGATTTTCCCCCTTTCTCTCCTTAACTTTTTATGGTGTTTATTGCTTAGATTGACGTCGAGAATTTTTCACCGAAACTCTCTTTTCCTTTGCCTTGTCAGAAAAACTCGTTTCACTTAGGTCTTACTAAAATTCATGGAAACTATTTAGCCAAGAGCATCTTCTACACAACTATCCGTAAAAGCTATACTATCATCTTCCCTAGCAGGCTGTATGCAGTATATATATTTATATAAATTAAATTATTGGATGATTTTCAATAATTGTAGACTTATACTTTTCCAAAGACGCATATTGTGCAATAAGAAATTGTGAATAATAAGATTATATTTTTCTCTGCCTCTTTCTGTTTCTTTTTCCCTATCACTATCGGTCTCTGTCTCTGTGTCTGTTTCTCTGCCTTTGCCTTTGCTCTACTCCTGCCTCTCTGCCTCTCTCCTCCTCCTCCTCCTCCTTTCTCTTTCCCCCTCTCTCACTCACTCACTCACTCACTCACTTACTTACTCACTCACTCACTCGCTCTAGCAAACACTTTTTCTTCTTTATATGAAGGGAAAAGTAAAAAAATTACAGAGTTAAACTTTGACTTTTTCTTTCATTTTATTTTTAAGTAAATACTGAAAAATTGCTACTTAAGAAGTCTAAGTAGACGTATTCAATTTCATGAAACGCTTGCTACTAATCTAAGGATCACATGACCTATTCTTCATAATAATAGTAGTAATAATAATAGCGATAATAGCATGGTACAGAGACGAAAACAAACTGGACAACATCCTATACGTATCGTATAGAAATTATAGTTTAATAAATACTATTTATTTATTTATTAGCAGTTTTATTGGAGGTTAACGATAAGAATACTCTAATCATTAGCAGTAACGATAGATCAACTTTAAGTAGCTTACAGCGAGTTTCATCCCAATCCTTAAATGATATATAAGAATGAGAAAAATTGACATTCACATCCGATTTGTATCTTTTTTTTTTCT